TCGGGGTCAGAGGCAGGCGGGGTCAGAGACCGGAGACCAGAGGCAGTACTGGGATAGAATCAGGAGTCAGGGTCGAAGTCAGGCTGTCCTCAGAGACCGGAGATCAGGAAACAAGGCAAAGTCTGGTGTTGCAGCAGGGCAAAATCTGTGTACTTACCCAGACACCTTCCTGGGGCAACCCCTGGGATTAAATTGGGGCACTTGGCCAATCAGAGGGCCATGAGGAATGTCACTCTGAGTCTCGTGAGCAGTACTTCCTGCGGCCCCTAGTCTCCCAGTGTTTTCTGGCTGTGCCTCTGGATGGCTTCCTGGCATGCTGGGACTATCAGCCACCCCATGCTCTGCAGGCCTAGGTTCTAGTCCCCGGTCCTCACATAGGCCCTCTTATCGACAGCCAAATCTTTGTAGCACACGTCAGCATCGCTAGCCCCAATAGCCAAGCAAACAGAAAAACAATATCACTCCCTTCCCAGAAGCAGGAGTGTGTCTATTCACTCCAAAACCAAACTCATTAATTGTCATGGCAGCTAATGAGAGGACACCACAAGGAAGATTTAATTCTACCCCAAAAGAAAAAGAACCTATAAGACTGGATGCATTGGGAAGAAAATGAGTTCTACTGCTTCGCTCCAGGTGAGAATAACGACCAGCAAGCTCTTTTAGTGGGCGGTGATGTCTAAATTCATGGACAAATTGCCAGACACCTCCAGAGAGAAGTTCAAAGCTTTCTTGACAAAGCGCTTGCTTGTGGCAAAGACCTTGCTACAATCTACTCTCAACATAATGTCTGATTCTTCCAGAGCAATGACCATTGCCATCATCAAGAGGAGGGCATCTTCGTTATTTAATTCCGGGATAGCACCAGATATCCAGAAAACCACTGAAATTCTGTCTTTTGATGGACAGTTTGTATTTTCTGACAAGACAAATGAGGTGTTTATCTTTTAAAGATTCATGAGTGACTCTCCGCTCCCCGGGAGTTTATCTTCCAGCCTTCAAGAAGCATTAGTACAAGCCCCTGCAGAAATATTCAGATTATTTTCTTGGACAGACCTTTAAATTAAATTTAATTTTTTTTTAAATTAATGGAGATATCCTATCTCCTAGAACTGGAAGGGACCTTGAAAGGTCATTGAGTCCAGCCCCCTGCCTTCACTAGCAGGACCAAGTACTGATTTTGCCCCAGATCCCTAAGTGCCCCCCTCAAGAATTGAACTCATAACCCTGGGTTTAGCAGGCCAATGCTCAAACCACTGAGCTATCCCTCCCCCCCTTCTATCCTCCCAGATGATACTATGCTTCTTGGAGGAGAGAGGGGCTTCAGAAAAGAAGGTCATCCAACATTACCACTAACCCACCGTGCTCTCAGCTTTCGGTAGGGACACAACTCTTGGGACTTGTTTTTCGAGGACAGCATAGCAACCAACAATGATCTACACATCCCTGCTCAGTGTGGAGACAGATTATCCCACTTCCTCAGCCCATGGGAACAAATATCTTTAGACAAGTGGGTCCTAAGTACTATGGGCCTGGGATATTCAGTCCCATTCATTTCCACCCCTCCTCCCTACCCTCCTCCTCTGTCCCTTTTCAGGGACCCATCTCATGAGTCTGTGCTCCTTCAGGAGGGTCAGGCTCTCCTCGCCCTGGGGCACAGAGTAAGTTCCCCCACTCTTTTTCCTGATCCCCAAACACAAGAGTGGAACTGAGACTGTTCTGGACCTCTGGGCTCTCAACAAGTTCGTCGAGCAAGTGAGATTGCGCCTGGTTACCCTAGCTTCAATCCTCCATTCTCTAGATGGCAATGGTTGGTTGGCTGCCCTTGATCTTCTGGACACATATTTCCATATAGCTGTGTTACTCAGCCTCAGGAAATTCCTCAGACTTGTCATCATCAGTACATGGTACTCCCCTTTGGCCTGTCATCACCAAATGTGTGGAGGCCTTCTCGAGGAGGAACGGGATACATGTCTTCCCTTACCTTGATGGTTGGGTGGTTCAGGGGTTCTCTCACAGTCAGGTCCATTGCCATCCATTGACTATATCATCCACCTGTTCAATCACCTTCATCTTATCCTGAACAGAGAAAAGGGGAGGGATAGCTCAGTGGTTTGAGCATTGGCCTGCTAAACCTAGGGTTGTGAGTTCAACCCTTGAGGGGGCCACTTAGGGATCTGGGCCAAAATCAGTACTTGGTCCTGCTAGTGAAATCAGGGGGCTGGACTCGATGACCTTTCTGGGTCCCTTCCAGTTCTAGGAGATAGGTATATTTCCATATATTATTAAAAGTCTGCACTGATTCCTGCCCAGAGACTCGAGTTTGTTGGAGCACTATTGAGTGTGGTCAGGGTGGAACCACCTTAATATAGCCTCAGGAAGGGCCATGAGGAAGTATAAGGCGTGTGCACTGACTCAATGGGTGGCAAAAAGTCTCCAGCTCACAGTGCACACGGCAGTGCACACCTGAGCAGAATACACATCTGCACCCACATCTCGAAGAACAACCGTTACACAACAGGTAAGTCACCATTTTTTATCTGTGTTTGACCCATTCCCCATTGTCCCATTGTTTGGGTTATATAGCTCTTAGTCTCTTTGAGGGCTCAAATATGGCTGCACAGGTGCACAAGAGGACCAATGGTCTTTGTGTATCAAGCTACATGGGGCCAGGCACAGTCCTATTGGCGAGTGCAGGCACTGCCCCCTGTAGGGTGAACGTGAAAATGGGAGTCATTAAACCAGTCGGTAAAAGACACATATGCTCTGCCAATTGAAAGGATGGTGCAGCTGCCATTACAGCATGAAAGAATTCCAGCTTAGTCCGTCTGATGTACTCCTGAGGTCTCCCACTCCAGCACAGCCCCCTTCCCTCTTTCCAGTGTGAGTCTCAAAAGCCAGCGTGGCTCTTAGCGAGCTCCTGTAGAAAAACGCTTTCTAGCGACTCTTTTCCATGCTTGTTTGTCTGACATTTGTTTGTTTTTAAAGCAGAGGAAGTAGGTGAAGAAGAAGAGGAAAAGATGCAGAATGGAAAGGACAGAGGTAAAAGACTATCTCAGCTGTAAAACACTTTTCCCATTTATTTCTGTGCCTGAGATTAGTGTGTCTGCAAACTCTCCACTTCAGTGTACCAAGCACTGCAGAAGCATTCATGTAACAGCTCTGGGTTTCGGCAGTTTATGGAGGCTTCTTGTTGCTGTTACACCTCCTCCAGACACACAGCGGGGCCTATCAGGCTTGTCTTTCTGTTCCTCTCGCTGCCCTGTTATATGTTTGCTCTCTCCATTTCTGCCGTTGCTTGGGACAGTAGTAATGTCCAGGGTTCCATTGTCTCTGTGTTCAGATGTATTGAAATATTTTCTTTCAGCAAGTGGCCATGTACAAGTGTAAGCATGGCAGGAAAGGAGTTACTCTGAATGGTACAAGAGGAACAAGAATTAATGTTGTGAGGTTAGATAAAGAAAATGAAGGCTGGAAAGTTTCTGGAAATTGGGTGTGCGAGGCTGTGGAAGTGTCACCCAAGGGAAGCAGGAAGCCTTGTTGGTTGAGGCATTTAAAATGTGTCTGGACACCGTATTCAGCAATATTCTGCTGAGAACAGTCCTGCGCAGGCGGCAAAATGGGGCCTTACAGCAGGTCTCATCCCATCTCTAATCCCTGATTCCAAGTGTAGATAATAGAACTAATCCTCCCCAGGCAGCTCTGCCTCTGGCTTATAAGGATGTGGAAGGAATGTGGGGCTGTCACAGCATTGTTGTGCAGGTAGACTAATGATCCCCTATCAGGGCCGGCTCCAGGCACCAGCTTGTCAAGCAGGTGCTTGGGGCGGCCGCTCCAGAGAGGGGCAGCACGTCCAGCTATTCGGCGGATGGTCCCTCACTCCCGCTCGGAGCAAAGGACCTCCCGCCGAATTGCCGCCGCAGATCGCGATCGCGGCTTTTTTTTTTTGGCTGCTTGGGGCGGCCAAAACCCTGGAGCCGGCCCTGTCCCCTATCCAACAGGGCTCCGGAGAAAGAAAACCCAGGTGAGCGATGTGGGGAGTGGAATACCAGTCACTGGACACTGGGTTTGGGGGTTTCACCTGTCCCTTCCTCAAATGACTGAACAGAAAACCCCTTCTCCTGGTGTGACCAGGGGTGCTTGGGTGAAGGTATTTGCCACCACCTCTTCTTCCCGCTTTGCCAGGAAAGGAATTTACAGTAGTTGCACTGAGGTGCTTCAGTTCGGGCTGTGCCCCTTAGTGTGACACTGATTTGCTTGTGGAGCTGTTTGCTCGCACTTTCCACGTTTAAATTAAGGATGGACAAAGAGATTTGGATTAGACAAATATCAGTCCAAACATTTCATGTCTCACCTGAGACAAATCTTTGCTGAGCTTTGACAACGTTGGATTTTTATTCTTTATTGTTCCATGCACCTCTTCACTTCCTGCTTCTAGCTGGGATGAAATTTCACACACGAGACTGTTCACACAAGATCTCCAGCCCAAATAGGTCCTGAGAAGGTGTGACTCTTTCTCAGGGCACCCAGGATTGTGAGTCACCTTGTTACCTCCCTGCTCTAGCGGGAGGGAGTTTTTCTTGTGGTAGCTGGGTGTCAGCTCTGGTACAGCACCAGCCTTTCAACCATTCAGACACTGTCCTCAGGACTCTGTCAGGCCTATCTTGCTTTGCAGGCTACCTTAGATGCACCCAAATCCCTGCACCTCTTTTGAAGAGCATTCCCCTGTAGCATCCAGCCCCTGTCACTGGACACTCACAGAAATTACCAGGTAAGCTGCCTCCCAAAGAGATATACACAGCTGGAAGGTTATGATTCAGGTTTCACACTTTATGTCAACACAGGACTGTAATCTATGTATAGTAAAAACAAATATATTTATCAACAAAGAACAGAGAGTTACAGATTCAAGTTAGTATTGTCTAAGAATAATGGAAACAGAAATGGTTAGAAACACACCAGAAGTGTAACACTCATTCTAGAGACTAAGGGCTTGTCTGCCCTTAACACGCTGCACCGGCACCGCTGCACTGCTGTAGCATTTCCGTGTAGACACTACCTATGCCAATGGGAAGGGTTCTCCCACGGGCGTAGGTAATCCACCTCCCTGAGAGGCAGTAGCTAGATCGACAGAAGAACTCTGCACGGGGTCTCAGGTCAACTTAATTGCACTAATCAGGGGTGTGGATTTTTCACATCCCTGACCAACTTAGTTAAACAGACCTAATTTGCTAGTGTAGACCAGGCCTAAGACTTAACCCTTGTCTAACGCAGTTTCTCACCCTAAAAGTCTCTCCGCAGAGTTTACTGGTTTTCATTGAATCATAGAATCATAGAATATCAGGGTTGGAAGGGACCTCAGGAGGTCATCTAGTCCAACCCCCTGCTCAAAGCAGGACCAATTCCCAACTAAATCATCCCAGCCAGGGCTTTGTCAAGCCGGGCCTTAAAAACCTCCAAGGAAGGAGACTCCACCACCTCCCTAGGTAACGCATTCCAGTGCTTCACCACCCTCCTAGTGAAATAGTGTTTCCTAATATCCAACCTAGACCTCCCCCACTGCAACTTGAGACCATTGCTCCTTGTTCTGTCATCTGCCACCATTGAGAACAGCCGAGTTCCATCCTCTTTGGAACCCCCCTTCAGGTAGTTGAAGGCTGCTATCAAATCCCCCCTCATTCTTCTCTTCTGGAGACTAAACAATCCCAGTTCCCTCAGCCTCTCCTCATAAGTCATGCGCTCCAGACCCCTAATCATTTTTGTTGCCCTCCGCTGGACTCTTTCCAATTTTTCCACATCCTTCTTGTAGTGTGGGGCCCAAAACTGGACACAGTACTCCAGATGAGGCCTCACCAATGTCGAATAAAGGGGAACGATCACGTCCCTGAATCCAGGATCCATTCCTTCCCGTACCATCCCCCTCTGCCAAGGGTGTCCTCAGTGAAATGGATGACGGTGTCCTTTAGCTTTTCCTTATATTTCCGAAAGTCCATTCTCCTTGTTCCCAGAGTCAGGATAACTGTCTGGGGTTCATACTCTGGGGTGCTCACCTGTTGAGTTCGTATCCCTCATCAACCTGCTTTTCCTGTTGACTTTACATATAAATGGGGCTTCCTTTGTGTCGTCCTTACAATGCTTAATTTACCTCAGAGACAGGGATAGCCGAAGAGACATGCTTTTATCTGGCAGAAGACCTGTTCATTCACTCTGCCTTGTTACTGACTTTAAAGCATAATTTTTATACACACGCACAGATGATTCCTTATATAGTATCAGTATATACATTTCACAGTGATATTATAAGCACTGTGTTCTTGGCTTTTGTTTGATACCTCACAAAACACTTTTTGGGTAAATACTATGAAAGCAGTATGTCAGGTGTAGTGAGTTTGTCAGGCCTGATAGGAGTTACTGTTACAGAATAGTGAACCCTTTGCCAGTTGGTATTGTGGGGGTTTTAGGGAGCAGCCAGATGGTTGGGGCTTCTCTGACTCCTCTGAGGTTTACCCATCACTAGTTGAAATGATAGGCTTGTTTGGGCTTTTGGGTTTTCTTTTACTAGCAATAATACGTCTGATTTCAGTGAAATCAACAGTTTTTGAAGGTAATATCATGTTGGCTTTAAATCATACAAGGCTCTTATCCCTGGAATCTTCCTCCTTCATTAGATATTTTGGATGCTTAGCAGATGTTCACTCTCTTTTTCCAAATGTGTAATGTACCTTGCATGGAAAATAGGGGGAAGAGAGGGAGTTTGAAGATTCTTATGAGTCATCACTGAACAGTAAGAAGTAGTTGTTCGAGTGCACAGCATTTCAATCTAACCAGCAGTAATCTGTTTCATTTACCCTACACTCTTTCATATTTCTTAATCAGTGCATGTATTTCTAGCATGCCAATTACTGTAGTATCTTCTAGGTACCATTTCCGCCTATGCCTTCTGTACACAGTGAACTCTTGGCTAATGTTTGAATTGACATTGCCAATACATAATTCCCAGTCCTTCACAACTTGCTGGGCTACCATTAGAGAGACAAGGTCAATGAGGTAATATCTTTTATTGGACCAACTTCTGTTGGTGAGAGAGACAAGCTTTTGAGCCACACAGAGCTCTTCTTCCAGTCTGGGGAAGGAGCTCCCAGCATCACAGCAAAATGCAAGGTGGAACAGATTGTTTAATGTAAGTGATTAGCACCTATTGTAAGAAACCGGTCAAGCTAGAGTCATAGAAGAAAAAGAGGGAGTTAGTGGGTTACAGATTGTTGTAATAGGCCATCTATCCAGTGTCTCTGTTCTGTCCATGATTTTTAGTGTCTAGCAGAGTAATGAATTTAAGCTCCCAGGCTTGTCTTTTGAGAGTGTTGTGCAGGTTTTCTTTGAGGATGAGGCCTGAGAGGTCAGATATAGAATGATCACTTTGTGAAAAGTGTTCACCCACAGGGGATAGGGTGGTTTTGTCTTTTATCATTTTCCCGTGTGAGTTCATTTGAGAGCAGAGTGATTGTCTGGTTTCACCCACATAGTGTTATTGAGGGATTTAGTGCACTGGATGAGTTATACCACATGTTGTGATAGGCATGTGTAGGACCCATGGATTTTGAAAGGTATGTAGTGTGGGGTGCTGATCATTGTAGAACTGGAGATATATCTGCAGGTTTTGCATCTGTTGTTCTGACAGGGTCTGGTGTCACTTTGAATTGGTGTCCTGGTCTGTGGGGAGCTTGTTTCTGATGATGAGCTTGGAGGGGCTGGGGGCTTGTTTAAAGGCCAGAAGTGGGGGTTCAGGAAAGTTTTCTTTCAGGATGGGGTCCCCGTTCCGTATGGGTTGTAGTTGTTTGATGATACCGCGTCTGGGCTCCAGTGTGGGGTGGCAGATGACCACCAGTAGTGTGAGGTCAGAAGGGGGTTAGGGGTTGTCCACTGTCTTGCAGATATTTGAGGCAGGCAGCTATGCCGTCATTGTGAGCGACATTGGTGTATTGGGAAGTGACATCCATGGTGGTAAGGATGGTGTTCTGAGGGAGGCTGTTAATGTTGCAGAG